AACTCCCTGAAAAGAGGTTGTATCCAGATGGGACTCGGGCTCTGCTCCCAGGCAACAAGCAACAGGATGAGAGGACATAACCTCAAGCTGCACCAGGGGAGGTTTGGGTTGGACACGAGGAGGAATTCCTTCACATAAAGGCTGATTGGACATTGGAATGGGCTGCCCAGGGAGCTGGTGGAGTCACCATCCCTGGAGGTGTTTAGGGAAAGACTGGTTGACATGGTAGCGTCAGGTCACAGGTTGAACTCGATGATCCCAGAGGTCTTTTCCAACCTAATCAATTCCATGATTCTAATGATCTTTGTGCCAGTGTGGCAGGATGTGGCCCATTAGGGAAACGCACCCTTTAGTCCCCTCCTGCTCCTCCCCAAAGCAGGAAGGTTGTGGGGATGAGCCCTGGGCTGAGGTGGCAGGTCGGGACCTGGCGAGTGGTGGCAGGACGTGGCTCAGGTTGGCTCGTGTTGGCTCCTCTTGGTGCTGCTGGGCCCAGCCCAGCTCTTATCGCGGTGTCTGTGCATGGCAGAGCCCTTGGCCAGCCCTGGACCGCTGACCAGGGCCGAGATAAGACAAACACACAGTTCAAAGGCCACCCCCTCTCTGCTGACATGAGGCAACCTGTGAGGCTCTGGGCTATGCCCTGGAGGGGTACAGAGCTGGGAAGCCTTCCCCCTTCTTGCCAGCTCTGGGTCAGGCAGGGCAGATGAGCTCTGATCTTTCCCTGTTCTTAGCAGGGCAATCAGTCCCTGAGGGCTTCTCAAAGCCATGTGGCCATGGGGACAGGCCAGGCTCTATCCTCAGAGCACACAGCTGGGGAGAGGGGACACCATCTCTGGGTGTGGGTGGGTACCAGCCCCTTATCCACCCACATGTGTGGTCCCATCTGACACTGCATGGCTGTGGTGGGAAAGGATAGAGGGAGCCTTGGGATGTCCCCAGGACTCAGAGAGTCTTTCCAGGATTTACCACCCCGAGGGCTGGGTCAGCCCAAGCTGGGAAAGCCCTGCAGCACCCAAGCTCAGCCTGGTAGAGGAGCCCAGACTACCACAGCTCCTTGGCATGGGAAGCAGAGGCTGCTGCACCCCCTGGAGCTGTTTACCTGCAGGGCCCTGTCCCAGCACCTGGAGGGCTGACTGGCAGGTCAGCTGGTGCTTTTTGCACAACAAAGCCATGGGCTGCTCCTTTATCTCGTTCTCCCTCCCCTATTATCAATAGTTTTTCTGGTCCAACTGGATTTACCTGCTACCACATCCCCAAGAGAGGGAGAAGGTCCACACAGCGGGAGGTGAGTGAACCCCCCACCCCTGCACACCCAAGGCCTGCCCCAAACCTCTCTGCAGTTGGGGAACATTAATAGCATCTGATAAGATACCAGCACAAGGCTTTTTGTGTTGACCTGGAGCAGGCACATACCTCTGCTACACTCCCACAGCATCCAATCAGCCACAGCAGCTCCAGAGCAATGCAGCTCGAGGGAGCACCTGCTCCATGCTGGGAAGCTCTGGCTGCTCTGTGCCTCAGTTTCTTGCCTGCGAAGAAGAGAGACAGGAGTGATAGTCTGGATCATGGCACAGGACTGCCTTGGAGCTGTGTATGGCACTCACAGCGGCTCCCTCTGGCACCTGCTGGGGTTTGGTCTTGGCTGGCAGCACTGGCAGGTACCTCAAACCCTGAGGTTTGTGTCTGTGAACACACAGCAGGACGTGGTGGTGCCTGCTCCTGTTAGACAGCTGAGCAGTCCCGCTGGAAGAAGGAAGAGGTGGCAATGAAGCAGAAGATTCGAAGCCCTGCCAGGAAGGTGACAGTGTGAGAGCTCCTGGGGAATGCCAGGAGGAGTCAGGCACGGCTCTGATGGTCCTCTCGGTACTCACCAACAGCTTCTGAAAAAAAGCAGGGCTGACACAGCAGCAGCTTCTGGACATGCTGAGACACAGCTGTGTATTTATTACCCAAATCAAACGTCTCTGTTTAAATCCTGCAGCCCCCGGAGCTCCCGGCTGCCGGCGGGGAATCCCCTGCTGGTCGCTGGCTCTGGGTGTCGTGTGGGTGCACGAGGAGGAGTCGCTGTGTCTGAGCACCACGGGGGATGTCACACCCAGTCCTGCCGTCGGTCCCCCTGCCTGTGCTGCCCTCAGCTCCGTGTCGTGCCGCGGGAGCCGAGCCCACACCTTTACACGCTTTGTGAGTGGCACTCACAGGCACTGAACCTCTGCTCCACGTGCCCCTACACACCCCAGGAGAGCCCCCGGGCCATAAATCCCGCTGGCAGGCGGGTGTTACAAAGCAGAGGACACCGGGGGACAGTGGCGTGGTGCAGCGTGGGCAGCTGCAGGGCTGTGCGTGGCACCGGGACACGGTGCCAAACCTGGATGTGCCAGACTCGGCACGGTGCCGGCAGGTCCCTGAACAGGAGCTGCCACCTGGTGGCACAGGGACAATCCTGCTGCCCTGCCAGCCACAAGGATGGGGACATTTGGGGTGTCCCTGCACCCCTGGCACTGAGCTGCACTGAGCAGGCTGGGGCTACTCCAGCACAGTCCTGATTTCACCCTGGGACACTCACCCAGCTGGGGTCTCGCCCAAGCCCCAGATCCTGGGGCAGCTGTAGCTGCCCTCCACAGGTTTTGCTCCATTAGTTTGTGCCAGGACAGAAGCTGACTGGGAAATGGCACCTCTGAGCCCCCTCAGCTGCTCTGGATCTGATGCCACAAGATCAGGTGGCTCTGGTGAGGCACAGCTGGACTCTGCTGCAGGGGATGTGTCCTGGTGTGTGCCACACCTCAGCCAGCCCACAATGGCAAAGGTGTCTTGGTGCCACCAGGGGGGACAGGAGCAAAATGAGGAGGTGAAGGGGCCTGGTCAGAGCAGCTTTCCAGGGAAACTCCAGAGCACAGCAAAGTCCCTTCTCTAGCCAAGGTTATCCCTGATAACACCAAACTGTGCCAACTGTGTTGAGAGGAAAGCCTGGAGGGAACAGGCACTGCTGGGGGGGAAAGCCTCCTGGGAAGTTTCCTTCCCTTAACTCTGGGAAGCCTCAGCACTAGGGGGAAGTGTGGGCTGGGGGCTGCCAGTCCATCCCCAAAGCCTCCTCGTCCATGGGGGGATCCTTGTTCGGTGGGACTCAGCCCCATCCTGCTTCCCAGAGAAGAGGGAAACAAAAGGGGAGGAGGGGGAAGGGAAGGGTCTAAGAGAAACTTCTTCCTACTTGTCAGGAAGAGAAAAGCCCTATTCAGGCAGGAAGAATACCCGTGTGGAGCCGGTCACCAAGCAACCCGCAGCAATGTGGTACGGCCTGAGGGACAGGCAAGGAACCAAAAGTGCCTCGCTGCCCACCCAGAGTCCAGGCAGGGAGAGCCTGCAGGACCTGGGGACAGGGGACACGAGGGGTGCAGAGCCACCACGAGGGGCTGTGATGCCCAGGGGGGTCCACAGCTCCTGGTGCAGGGGTTCCTCCTCAGTCAGCTCTGGAGGATGACCAGCCTCCATCAGGCTTCCCGTTTGCTGCTCAGGCAGGATTTGTGGTCTGCTCCTGTGGCTCCCCGTGGGCCTGCTGTTCACACAGGGCTACATCATTCCCAACAGAGGCACAGTGCATTTTGGATAACTCCCTGCTCCCACGGACACTGTGGGAGTGTATGGGCAGAGCAGCCCAACGCAGGCTACACCCTCTCCCAGAGAAGCTGAATTCTGCATTTAGATTCAAAATGTGGGGGGCTGTCCTTTGCAAGCAAGCTCGGTGAGACATGATCAACTGCCTGGCCTCTCGGCAGCACAAGGGAAAAGGGACAAAGGAAATCAAGCCTGACGAACCCTGCTGACAATCCCAGCTGAAATGCTTCCCTTGGGCTCCAGGGAGTCCCTGGAGACGCTGCTTCCCCATCAGAAATGCTGCAGAAATGGGAAAACACTCACAGCCAGAGCAGGTCCACTGTGCAGCTGGTTAACTCCAGGGAGATGCCCTGGACACTGGAAGTGGCTTTTTGTCTGCATAGTGTCACAGGGGGGAACATCCAGCCCTTCACACATTTGCCTTGAGCGTCTGATACACTTGGAGTGGACAAATCTTCCTCAGGGAGGTGTTTGGAGACAATGCTGATCCCTGTCCTGTAACACCCAGGTGAACAAGTGAGGGATGCTCAGGTGAGTCCACACAAACTGCAGAGCTGTGAGAGATGGAGGTGATCTCATTCACCTCTGGTCCTGCCCTTCCCTGCCTTCATTATCTGCTACATCTCAGCCTTTAAAGCATCAGCCCTGGATGCACTAAATAACCACAACCCACAGGGTTACAGTGAAAGATCAGCTTGGCCAAAGTAGTGCCATTTATTTTACATACAAAACCCCTTTGAGAAAGCCAACATGCTGCATGTGTCCTGCACACAGCACCGTGGGGCACAGGCACTCCAGCCAGCAGCAAGGAAGCATCCATCCCTGGCCACCTCTCCTGGCAGGAGGACAGACACAGTGCTCTGGGCACAGCTGGGAGCCAAGCATGACGAATTCCAGCTAAGCAAGGACTTGGCACACCAGGACCATGCCAGAAAATTCACATTTTGTGCAGCCATGGGATCCCTGGAGAGCAAGAGGCACCAGGTACTGCATGTCTGCTGCTCCAGGGAGAGCAGTTACCTGCCCTTGAGCTGATGGCAGTGCTCCTTTGCAAGTGTCACAAGGCCACACTGGGAAGCAGAAGTGAGACTTGTTCTCTCTTGAATTAGTCACCTGGAAGTGTCCAGTCTATCCTCTTTATCTGCAGGGAGCAGAGTGAGAGCAGCACCTCCAGAAAATAAAGTCAACCTGAGACAGGACCTGTGTGTCCATCTCCATCCATTGGCTCCTGAGGGAGCTTGTTTGGACAATACCCAACTCCACAACAAGTATCACTAAGGAGAGGATCCACCAGAACAGAAGTAGCCCCAGCCTGAGGAGCACCTCCTTGCAAAGAGGAAATTTGTACTAAATAAAGGACACTGGACCATATGCTATCCAGATCCATGCTATCCAGATCCATCCTGGATTCTGTTCTCCCAATACCTGTGCCTACAACAACCAGCAGGAATCTGGCAGCACAGCCACATGGATTTTGTTGGCACTCTGCATTTTCTTGTTCTTCTCTGGGTCTGCAGCATTCACACGTTTGTGGAAGTGTTGTGAAAGAACAGAGGTGCTGGAGGAGGGAAATGTCTCTGTGGGGATGAAATATGCCTGGCAGTCCAGAACTTGGCTCTGGTGGTCCTCTTCTGTTCCCAGTGAGGTGCTGAGATTTCCCAGGCAATGGCCCTTGCCACACAGTCAGGATCTCTGGTAAAGCTTCATGATATTCTCATCGTGAAGCTTTTTCCACACCTCCTTCTCCAGTTTGAAGTCGTGGTTAATGTAGAAAATCAGCCGCTTCCACTCCTTGTCATAGTAGTGATCCGAGTACTTCTCGTGCCCCTCTGTGATGTAGCCATAAGCACTCACCTGGGATAGATGGAGACCTCACTGGGCAGGGGGACCAAGGGTGGAGGGAGCTAAGTGAAATACAGGACACAGTTCCCAAACAAAGGGAGGGAGCTCAGGACAGAGATGCCATTGGGGCTCCTCTGGTCACCCTGCACGGGGGCCCAGAAGGACCAGATTATGAGCACTGGCTCCTGCTGTCCTCTCACTGCCTCCCTGGGAGCTCACATGCTCCAGGTCACAGCAGGCTTCACAACCTGTGTGTGAGCTATTTTGGGGCTGTTTCTCTTGTCTTCAATCTGCTCCTCCACAGCTGACACAAGCCCACATACTCTCAAGGCAGATAGTAGGAGGGTTGTAGCCACCCCTGCTCTCCCCTGTCCCTGCTGCCCGACAGTGCTGAGTGCAAGAATCATGGTGCCCTTACCCTGTCACAGAGGTGGAGGGCGGTCAGCAGCAGAAAGGCCCCTGTTGTGGGTCTGTAGAGCCTCCAGTACTGCTTTTCCAGACTTTTGGATTTTAAAAACCTGCAGCAGGAGAGAAGAAAGCACAGAGCGGTTGCTGGGTGTGATGTTTCAAGCCGGGCACACCTTTCCCTCTGCAGCCTCTGTCACATCTTCCTTCCTTGCAGCAGGTTGTGGCCATAAGAGGCATTTCAGAGAAGCCAGGAGTATGCCCAGAATGCTCCATCCCCTGCACTGCCACTTCAGCACAGCTCTGCCCCAGCTTTATGCAAATGACAGGTCTGGAGGCAGTGGGGATAAAGAGGGGATGGATTAAAGGATCTAACAGGTTAAAGCCCACTACTCTTAAGTCTGTCCTTTGCCTTGCAGTGCAGAAGTGGCTTTGAAGCTCTGTGGTAGATCCTGCTCCCCATCCTCATCTAAGAGTGACACGAGACACAGGGAAGGTGCAGAGGAGGGTCACAAAACCTGCCAGGAGCTGCATAACCTGTGTTATGACAGGAGCTGTTTGGAAAGCAGGAGTCCACACCAGGACAAAATAGCATTGAGTCCTGATGGCCTTGGAAAGGACCCAAGTCAGAGGGGAGACGTCAGAATGAGCAGGGAGTGCCGGCCATCTGGCTCTCAGGGAAGGCAGAATGCAGCTCTCAAGGAGACTGAAGGGTAAAGGCAGCCAAAGCAGGCATGACAGGAGCTCCTGTTCCTGCATCTCGGTCACGTGTGGCCCATGATGGGCAGATCTCAGTGACAGCAGGCTTGTGGACAGGATTGGAGAGGCGCAGAAGAGCAGCCACACCAGGCAAATGGGGTGCTGAACAAGGGCCTATTATGCTGTTTGAGGGGATAAAAAACCTCAGGAGTCTAGGGGGAATCTCTGGAGAGAAGGTCTGTTACAGAGCCTTTCCCCAAGGTGCTCAGCAATGGTTGGTCCTGAACTAGATCAACTATTCCAGCACTTCAACAACACTCTTCCCCCATCTAAAGTTGCCATTTGCCCATGATCTCTTTTGGCTGCAGAAAGCCAAACTGTCCCCAGCTCACGAATTCTGGATGACTACCCACCACTAACCTCCCACTGCAGCACCACAGAGGATTTCAGCTGAGTGCACACTGCTAAAGTTTACCCCCAGGCCGCTGGTGTGGCTGAACTGCAGTTACAAGGGAGCAGAGAGCTGGGAGGAGAGCCCAGAGACAGAGATGGTGCTGCCCACCACCAGAAAAAACAAGCCCATTAGAGCACATAACCCCCAGCTCACCTGTTTTTCATGTATCTGAGGAAATCAGGGTGAACCACCAGGTATCTGTCCATTGTGAAATCTTTGTCAAATTTCTGCCGGGGCACCTGCCTAAAGACAGGGATGAGGAGACTCAGGATGAGATCCTACACTTCATCACAGCTGGAAAGGATCAGCACTTGGTGGTAAGAGAAGAACCACAAGCACTGGGCAGTTATTCTGCAACATTTCCCAGATTATGACAAAGCCTCCGTAGGCTGTGTGCATTGCAGAGGAAGAGATCAGGGAGGAGAGGCAACAACAGGAGACAGGAGTATCAAAAGCACATGTTTGTATAGGCAGGAATTGGTGAAAGCAGGCTTTCATCCATGAGCAGGACACCATGTACAGACACCAAACCAGACAGCAGCATGTACTCGTCCCAGAGGGCCACAAAGCTTTCGGCAAGCTCTGGCCACACACTGAAATCAGCTGCCTCTGGGAAGGAGGTGTATTGGTTACAGCAGTGCTCAGAGCTGTGGAGGAAATGAGGTATTTCTCCAAACAAATCTGCCAGGGGAAGGGAGGCTTTAGCCTGGCTTTACCCTGGCCAGCCCCTCTTCAGGGCTGAGCACTGTGTAGAGGAAAAGGGCAAAGCAGAGAGCTCCTCGCTGCAGGGTGTAGAGGGGAGCTAGTTTGTTTTTACCCGCTGAGGTTCAAGAACCCTTTCCCGATGTCCTTGTTGAGCAGAAGAGCCTTCAGCCACTCATAGTCTCTAGCTCCCTCCAGGAAGTGAATGTATTTGACATGCTAAGAAAACAAATGAGCGTTAACCAACAGCACTTTAAAAACAACATTAAAGCAGACGTCTGCTTTAAAGACAAAATGCAAGCAAGACGAAATGCAAGCAAGCTCACCGAGTTTCTTGGACAGACATCTTCAGTCTGCAGCTCTCAACTAGCCCACAGAAGCAGAATGGAGGTAACACCTGATGTGCAGCTGCTTCTACATGCCAAAAGGCTGGGGTGGGACTGACACAGCCTGCTACTGCAAATACTCACTCCCAGCCAAGGCATTGCAGGTTCCCTCACAGAGGGAAATGCTAAAGTGCTGGCTCAGCCCCTTTGCATGGCAACAACAGGACTGAAGGACACAGACAAACAGCATCCCATCAAATTTATGTTCATCCATTCAGCATGGACCCGACTTACTTTCTCCCGTGGGATGTTGCTGAACCCTCTGTGTCCCAAGATCTGAAGAGAGGAAACCAGGGAGAAGGCTGTGAATCCATAAAAGGAGGTTTTTGTTCCCACATCCTTTTCGTAACCTTTGATTACAGCCCCGCTCACCCTGACCAAGGAAATCAGAGGAGCAGAGTTAGTGACCACTGCAAACCCTCACGTCCATGTTCCTAAGAGGAAAAGACAGTGTGAGTCTGGAGGAAGGGAGGACTAGGCCTGTTCTGAGCGACACCCTGATCGGCAGCAGAGCCCCCTCTCTGCAGATGGCTCTTTGTGGCTCATCTGTGAACACACGGGCTGTGGGGGCTCAGGAACTTCACAATTACTTTTTGACTTTTTGTCTCCTCATGCCATGAGTCGTTTTGGCACTTGGGAATCAGTGCAACAGTAGAAGAGACGAAGTGATGCAGCCACAATTACCTGCGGGCCCAGAAAGTGGCTGTCAGGTTCAGGTAGTGTGCATCCTCTGAGGAGGAAGCCTGCCTTACCGGAAGACGTAGTCGTGGGAGTCAATCTCCCGGCCCATCCCAGAGTTATTCAGGATTCCTCCATTCCCCACGACAGCACAGCTGATGCATGTTGGAACGCTGCTGTTACGGCTGGCCAGGAGCAGCTGCTGGTGAGGATTCGGGGGCAGCAGGGACATGACCTCCTTCACCACTGTGAAGCAAAGGTGGTGGAGAGTTATCAAGGGCCTTTGGGATGGACACAGTGAAATCACCACAGTTTCCACCAGAAGGTCCACCTAGCCTTTGACAGGGAGATGCTGCAAAGCTCCAGCTACTTGGCATCAAGTTCCTGTTGGGAGTCTGACGGTCCCATGCTGACAAGCCCTGAGGGACTCACGTGAATAATTCAGGTCCATGAAGCCATACGGGGGTACAAAATGCTCCAGGCGGTTCCATTCGCTGTCATTGAAGTATCTCCTGTCTGTGAAGATCGTGATGTTGGGCAGGAAAAGATCCCGCAGCCAGGCAGACTTGGCAGCTCTGGCCCTCACTGATTCAGAGCAGGTCTTGAAAACCAAAAAGAAAACAATAAGGACTGATGAGCAGAGAGCTGATAAACCTGACCGAGTGCCAGTGCTTGTGTGCCTGTGTGTGACAGGATCAGAAAGAAACACAGGAACTCCAGTGGTGCCTCAGTCATTCCCCTCAGCATCCCCATCACCATGAACATGAAGCACAATTTCAGCACCACATCCATAACCACCTGCCAGAAAGTCACCTACAATGGAGCCAGAATGACTCCAAGTCTCCAAGACTTTCCTCTTCAGAATAACAGGCCTGTGATGCTTAAATGTTTTACTGGCTTTGGGCCTCATGAACTCATTCAAATTAATATCTGTAATAGGTCTAATCTGAATTTACCAAATAAGGCTATAAGCAGTAATAATAATACAAATAACTGTAATAAGCAGTTTCCATTGGCAATCCACCTCCCAGGGTCCTCAGGAAGCACCTTGGCACATGGGGGATTAGATCACCATTACCACTCCCTTTAAAGGTCCGAAAAAAAGGTACAACTTGTTCAATGTCATAAATGAATCGCTGTGAAATGTGCTGAGGGAAAGGGAATCCAGTACAGGCTGACCTTCAAATGAACCTATGGAAACACATGCAACTGCAGTAACTCCCATACTAAAGCACAACAGAGGACTGGCCAGGCTGAGTCATACCAGGAGGTCTTCCTGTCTGGGTCCCACCAGCACCTGCAGTGAGCTGACCTACCAGCCCAAAAATCATCCTCAGCTGACACGGGCACACATGCCCAGGGGACAGCAGACAAGGAGGTCAGTGGGGAGGCATCATCTTTGGTGAACACACAAGCCATCACACCTACCGATGGTGGAGAGGAGTTATCCAGCAGGTACTCGTCCTCGAAATCCCAGCGTGGCTCAGAGGTGTAGTTAGCAGCACTCAGTTTTGTCTTTTTTGTCACTGCAGCAGCCTGAGGAACAGGCCTTACAGTTTTCACTGACACAGGAGGCTCTTTGGGTTTTGATTGGTCTTTGGATGTGTTGTTTTCACGAGCTCCCTTCACCCCAGAGGATGGTTTCGCTGTTGCCTTCTCCTTGGCTCCCTCTGCCCTGGGAAGGGGTTTCCCTGTTGTCTTTTCCTTGGCTTCTTCCATCCCTGGAGCTGGTCTCGCTGTTGTTTTCTCCTTGTTTCCCTGCACCACAGGGGCTGTTTTCACTGTTGCCTTCTTGACTCCCTCTGGCTGAGGTGGTGGTTTCACAGCCATGTTCTCCTTGGCTTTCTTATCCGTGGTAACAGGTTCCATCATTTTCTTCTCCTCCTCCTTTCCTTTCCAACTTGGTGTCTTCTCCACCACATCTTTTTTGAGCTTTGTGATGTCCCTCCCCAAAGTCACCTTTAAAAATCTCCTGGAGTTCCCATTACCAGAACAGTTCAAACTCTGTTGCTCTTGGTTGTCCACTTGTTGCGTATCTGGGCCATGTTGAAAAATGTTCAGTTTCCTGAGTGCAATCAAAGAAAAAGCAGACACATCACACACACTTTCCGCTTAACACTGAACACCCTCCAGCCCATTTTCAGTGCTCTTGACTCTGAGCCTCTCCCTGTGCTTTTGAGCAATTTCATTTTGAATTTTGCCAGAGTGTTATTCAACTTCCTACACCGTTCTGGCCTGAATTCTGCTTATCTCCCCACTAAGCAAATCCCAGAGGTACACACTCCTCTCCTCAGCACTTGGCTCTTGAAACATTCTCACTGGCAGTCCCTAGCAAGCAGAACAGCACAGCTTTGCCCTGCATTGGGCAGGACCCCTGGCAAAGTCCCCAGAGCACTGTTGTTTTGGAGATCCTGAGCTCAGGACATGGCACACGCCATGAAGGCAGCCATCTGGCTCTTTCCTCTGCCAGCAGAGCTCTGTGCTTCAGCAACAGAGCAGGAAGATCTTCCAGAACTCAGTAAGGGAAGTCTAAGACGAAGAAGAAGCGAAACTCCCTCCTTTACCCTGCATCATTTCTTGAGCATTTGGGGCCAGAGGGCACTTCTTCCTCTCCTCCTCCCCCTCAGTGAGGTAATGCAGTGGCATCACACAGCACTCATCAGGTACAGGTGTCTTAGGGCAGACACCCTGAAGCCGTTAAAATGCAAAATTTCTACATTTTTAGCACTTGCCTCTAATGTTGCAGCTGCCCTGCTGCCTGGCTCAGAGGCACAGGCAGGTACAAGGTTATCACAGGAGGACACATCTGCCAACAGCAGAAGCGCCACCAGCAACGAGACTGGGCTGAAACCCAGCAAAAAAATCAGGGCAGAAGTGGTGGGGGTTTGTCCCAAACATTCCTTCTTATCTGCACGTGGCTGGAGGGTGGAACAGGAAAAAGGAAGGTGAAAAATTCCTGCAGCTGAGCTTTTATGTACAGCAAAGCTTTTTAGGATAAACCATCATGGCTGTGGCAGTCTGATTTCACACTCACATTCAGCCTTTGCTTCCAAGGTAATAAATGGGGGAAAAGCACTTCTGCAGATAACAGGTTGTAGATAATAGTTCAATTGCTGCTGAAATTCGATGGATGTCATACCACTCTGATAGTGTTCAGGAAATTTTTAGGTAAGGAGGCTTTTAACAGTTGTTTTGTATCAGATAAATACAGGAACCTTCGCAATGATAAAAGAAGAGAGGTTGCAAAACTTGGCCTCTCATAGTCATTAGCCAGTTACAACCAAGAGTGCAGAATGTGCTTTTGTAGTTTCCACAGAAACCCACTACGGCTTTCTATCCTCATGTTTCATGTATAAACTTGTGTTGCTGTTTACTGCCCAGTAAGAGGAAAGATTTTATATGTACACTCTAAGTAAAGAGGTCTTGGGTAAGGTAGCTCAGGCAGATCTTAAATACCTTGATGAATATCTGTTGTATTTTTAAGATGACGCTTAAAACTTCAAAATAAAGGGCAGAAAACAAGTAAAATGGGGCAGTACGATAAATGAAACATGAGAATATGACAAACCATTTCCCACTCCAGACTTTCCCTATGTGCTGTCTCATAGGGCTGATTCCACCCCAGCTCTATAACATTTTATCTTCAAATGTTGTGCCAAACATAAAGAAAAATGTAGAACCAAGGGCCTTTCACATCAAAACCTTGCTCCCTGCAGTCAGGCCCAAATGGCCAGACACTTGTGCCCACACAGGACCCTGCTCTCCTGACCAGCATTTTAAATTCAGACAAATTGTCAAAGCAGGTCGTCCAATTTCAGGCTCTAGAGTCCAGCTGGCAAACAACTGCAGAAGCTCAATGACACTTACTGTCATTTCCTCTCCTTTCACAAAGCCCAAGGACAAATAAAGGATAAAGCCATGGAAATGTTGCTTTGTGTATTTTATGTTACATATAAAGGTACAGAAATAGAACTGCCACACAAATAACCACAGGCAGCTCATACCTTGTTCTGTTTTACTTCAGTTGCAAAAATGAAGTAAATTCATTTCAGGCATTTCCATTACCTGAAACTATGGCAGAATGAAATGGCTTCAAGCAGCTGGGCATGGAGAGCCAGTTCTTGTCCCAGCTCTGCCACTGATGGGCTGTAGGATCAAGAACAACTCACTTCACTTCTTTACACCTCCTCTTTCTCTCCTTTTCCCCCCACTGCCTCCCTTGTTCAGATTCCAACCTCTACAAACTCAGAGCTGCCCTCAAGGTGTGGTCTCAAGTTGCTAGAGCTGAGCTAAACTCCAATCCCCTCCAAAGATATGCAGATGTTCCCAGCCTCAGTCCTCCTGCCTGCCCCCACAGCATCAGCCCTGGCACATCCAGCTGAAAACTGACTCCACCAAGCTGAGCCAGCTGAGCTCACTGGGAGAACTGGGACCACATGAGGGTGGTGGGGAGGCTGGGGAGTGGTGCTTCCTGTACACAGCACACTGCACCACAGAATCACAGAACCACAGGATCAATTAGGTTGGGAAAGTCCTCTGAGATCATCAAGTCCAACCTAAACCCACACATCCGTGAGCCATGCTCCTACTAGGAAAGGCTCGAGTGTCTGCAGGGCTCATCCAAGGAACAGTGCTCCCTGTCAGTGATGCTGGAGACACTTCACTGCAATTCCCTCCACACCCCTTCTTGTAGGATTTGCTTGACCATTTATTTTATATATATATATGGATCATGTCTGCATGACGCTGGTCTCCCAGTACGCAGCATATTTGTGTTAGGAGTCAGCTGCTGGACTCACTATAAATTGGAAGGCATCCAACCAAATTCCCTGTCCAGCAATGCAATCTGGATTAGGCTGAATAAAGTCATTCGAGGAGTCACTGCAAAAGCAAATACTGTGTAGTGCCAAAGTGTGGAAGCAGGTAGCATTGGCAAAGCAAAAGCTGCTTTAAACAGCTACCCAAGGAAATGTTAGAAACTAGGGAGCCAGCAGAAGCAGGTTTTTGATCTGTGGATCTTCCAACACCATGCTCTGCCTGAATGTGGTCTGCTAAAGTAAAGTGGTCACCTAAGAGATCAGAAGGGCAAGCTTTAGAGTGAAAAAGAGAGAGGCAGAGAAAGAAAGCGAGGACAAGTCCTCTGCCCAGACAGTGCATATCTGGAGGAAGCAGGTCTCTTACCTGAAAATCCTTGTCTTTGCCAAGGAGCTGAAATTGGCAATGAAGATGCAAAAGTATGTTAGAACAATGAGGCAAAGCACGGTTTTGGCAATTTTAGGGAGCCTTATCCTGGATAACCGCATGGTGAGATGCCCGGGAGCGTCAGAGGCTCTGCTGCCACTGCCCAGAGGTGCTCGCCAGGCACTGCTTTATCAGGGTGTGTTCAATGACTGGGCTGGTCTTCTCCCTGGATTTGCCTATAGGAATGTGCACACCCTGTCTCCCAGCATTGCCAGACACTCTGCACACAGATCCAATTTCTCAGGCAAGACATCAGCTTTGTACTGTTCCCGTCTATCACCATAAGCTTATTGTTACAAATAGAAGGAAAAGAAAGACCTTTTACTGCAAACAGTGCAAGTTTCCTGTGTTTCCCTTAATGAGATTGGTCTGGTAAGAAGGAAACCCTTCATCTCTGATCTGGCAGCAGCACCACTGGGAACGTGTGAATTGTGGAAGTAGCCTCAGTTACAATCAAAGAAGTTTTCATACCACCGCTTGCCCAAGATTTTAGACAAAACCATAAACATATATTCTTCATGCAGTAATTGCCTGCAGCTCCAATCCAGAAGCAATCCCTGCCCCCCAAAAGCTGATGGATAGGGACACATCCATTTTACCTTGTGATTGCTTTGAAATAAATCAGAGTTGTTGCAAATCCACCATAGAACAGAGAAGTTTGTGTTATGAAAATCCCTGGTCTGCGTGGAATTTTGGCAGTCCAGACTACATCACCCCAGCAGCAGAGGGAAAAATCTGCAGAGGTGAACGCCACAGCCAGATCAATTCTTATCTTTACCAGAGATAGCCTTACAGCAAAGGACTATTTTTAATTTCTAAACTGTTACATATTAGCCCTGACAGTTCACAGGGAGATGGCCTTAGTGCTCCTTATGCTGCTTTTGCCCAGCTTGTATAAAAAAGTTAAGCTCAGATATATAAAAAAAGCTTTTGTTGACGGTATCTCAAATCTCAGAAGCAGTCACACTGATACTGAATACACAGAGAACAGAAGGTGCCTGTTTTATGCCACAGGAAAGCCAGTCAACAGGTTTCACAGCTACCTTGTACACCTCCACACAGCACAGCAAATATCTGCAAGGGCTCCCTGTACAAAGATCAGCAGTAACAGCCTTTCTCTATTGCCCATACTTCCTGACAGGTTACTCTCTCTGGATTTATATGCAAAGCATTGGTTATCAGGGGGCCTAGGAGAGAAAAAAATGAAACAATAACACAGGTTTAAAAGGCCCTTGAAGAAATACGAGGGAGGTTGTTAGCTCAAGGTACAGCCCTGGCTCCATCTACAACAAAGCATTTCACTACTGCTCAAATTGAGCCCAGGATTGATGTGTTGAACAACTGTAGGCACTGAGAAAGGGCTCAGCCAAGGTATTGCCGTATTCCTGGGCATTCCTTGTGAGCTCCAGGCACTTCTGCAGAGGTGGGCTACAAGGTGCAGCAGGCAAGTAGCAGTTCTGTGCCCACAAAATCTCCAACAGGACATTCTTACAGGAATAAGTAGCAGTCCTGCTCTCAAATAGCAAATGGCTTCATTTTAGCCTTCCTCTCTCAAGTCCTATGAACCTTCAGGCATTCAGCTTGGAAGAAGCTGCTTGTGTGCAATTACAAAACTTTTTTGTTAATAAGGTCTCAAAGAGAAATTCTGGAGGCAGAAAACACTTCCCTTCAATCTTCTCCATGTGCCATTACTGCCAAACCAAGAGCCAAAAGGGATAGCAAGACTCCTACAACCAGAAAAAGATGGATTTCTTTGCTCTTAAGGAGCTGCTCTGGTGACTGTGGAGAACACGTCTGTAGCACTCTGTGTTCAGGAAAGATTGTGCTCAGGGGAATATCCAAATCTCTGGCAAGCACATTAGCCAAAGGCAGGCTTGCTATGCAAAACACAGAGCTTTCCATCTTCATGGTGTAAGAAAAGAAAACCTAAAAACCCCTCTCAGAGTACTGACTTCCACTTCCTTGGAGTATCATTCCATCATCCTCCGCCTCCACTGCTGAAATCTGTCAGAAGTGAGGCAGCCAGGCTGGTTAGCTCCAACATGAGGTCAGATTGGGAAATGGGGTTATACTGGAACTTTCCGGGGTGACCTGGTGAAAAGTGAGGCCAAGAGCAAAGCTGGCCCCTTATAAAGCTCTATAAGAAGTAAGATGCTTGGGATACACAGGGCTCCCAGCCCACAGACAGGAAGATAATAAGCAGAGACTGCACCTAACACAGGGACTGGCCTCTCAAGGGCCACAGGCAATGCCAGCCTCTTTTTCCAAACACATTTCTCTGGCATTCCCACCTGCAATCCCAGAAGATGCTGCCTCTCTCATGGTGTAAAGACTCCAAACCCAGCACTGCTGCTCCATGCTCAGTTACCAACATCAGTGACCGCAACAGAAGCTCTTCTATTCTTCAGTGCTGTTAAAACAAGATGACTTTGTTTTAAAACAAACTGCACCTGGGATCAGCAAGTGGAGATGGTTATCTGTTAGCCTTTTTCCATCTCCAGCAGTCTATTTAATTCCACATACATCCTTATTACATCCTGGACATGCCAAAGGCAGATTTGCCTGGTTTGGGTTTTTTCTTTTTGTTCATAAACAAACTTCATTGCTATTAAATCTTGAACTGTGTGTGTTGTGGGTGTCGGCTGGCACTTGAGCTGTGCCATAAATTTATCTGTGAGCACGTTCTCCAGAGGGCTGTGTGTCAAATCTTGTTGACTTGCCTGTGCCCTGTGTGCTTTCCATTTTCCCGTGTCTCTGGGTTATGGAACAGAACACCACAAGACATGCTTTAAGAACAGAGCTGATCCAGCCTTTGCTGCAGGGTAAACTTGTCTTTCAGTGATGGCTACATCGTACTATAACCAGCACTTGACTGGAAGCCAGTGGAATAAAGTGCTGCTGAAGAAGCTGGGGGTGTTTGGACCTGTTCACAGTGTTTCTTGATGATAGAAGAACTGAGTGAGTTGAAAGTGGGAGAGAAAAAGAATGGCATTGCCTCCAGCATGTGACTGCTCAGTGGTCATGCCTGTGGGCTAGCAAAGACTTAGCTTGGCAAGCTTAGGTCCTTGTTTTCCTCTCCCTATTCAGCAATCACCTCCAGAAGCAAATGTTTGCAGGCTGGGAATCTGGGGAGGAAGAAATTACAAGAGCAAACTCTGCACAACTATCTGTCTTGCTTTCACCAAATAAAACCCATAGCCCCAAAAATCCCAAGCTTCCCATAATTCCACAGTCACTTGTCGTTTTCCAGCTAGTCCCTTCCCTTCTGCACCAAACCTTCTCTCAAAAACACTGAACAAGCACCCAGAGACAATAGCACTTGTCAAGGCAAAGCCCCACATCTTCCATTGTGGCACTTTCAAGAATACCCAGGGTTTTGTCACAGAGCAAAGCCCCAGAAAACTGTGCCAGGAGCAGGGGAACGGCTTAGAGAGTCAACTTGTCTGTGTTCTCCATGGGCTGAAATGCCCCAGGAGGAAAAGAGACAATGGATTTGATGGTGGAACACTTGAAAGTGGCTCCTCAGTGTCCACACAGCAAAGTAAAACTTGTTGGGTTTCCATTAGTGCTGATCTGTGGGCTCGGCATCCAGCCCCACCCAGCTAATGCCCCTGCAAAAAAAACTGCCTTGGATCTGTGTTGTGACAGCAGATGACATGGGTCCAACCTAGAACATTCCTCCCTCTCCCACACAGTAAAGGGACAATGGGCAGGCTCCTCCAGCCAGCTCCTACACACCATGGAATGTCCTTGCCTGGAGCAACCACTGGGAGATGGAGTGTAAGGCCTCTTAATTTTACCATATTACAGCCTCTGGTTGCTGGAACTTGTTTTAGTTCTTTTTTGTAAACACAGTGAGGACTCAGCTTTTGAGCTGTTCCCCACGGCCACAGCTCTGGGTGATAATTAACCTCCCTGTACAGAGTGGAGCAGACCAAGTCTGTCACCACATGGCCTTTCTGCTTCTTGAGCTCTTCGCCATTCACCTCACCCTGCTTAAGCTGCAACCCCAAAATGCTCTGGTCTCAGCATTCCTTCCTCAGACACACAACACTGAGAAGACTAATGAGCCACTTGGTTGGAGAGAATTTAAAAAGCCACAGAAAAATACACTCCCAGCAACAATGGCTGGAAAGGTCCGCTGGAGTTACACAGGCTGGAAAGAACCAGGGATCCTTTATCCAAATGCCTCCCTCAGCAACCTTCTGTCTGTGCCATCCCAGCAGGAAGCTTAGCACAGCACCCCAGAGCTGCCAGACAGAGAGACAAACCAGCAGCACTTCAGGGCTGAGATGGGCTGTGAAGTTTTTCCCCCCACCCCCCTTTAAAATCTATTTAATGGAAAGGAAGAAAACATTCTGTTTCTTGACCAGGAATCTCTCAGACCTGGTCCCCCAAGGAGCAGGCCAGCACTGCAGATGGGTGAGGAGGTAATTTATTAGACTCATGGCCAGTTGCCCTCCCATCAGAAAAGCAGCCTCTACAGCTCCTCTCCCTGACAGCTGCCAGGAACAGGAGCATTCCAGCACTCTTCACTGCTGCAGAGAAAGAAACACAAGAATCACAGAGCCCAAATTCCTCTCCGTACCCCCAGCAAAAAAATGCAGGCGTGTTATCTCAGCACGTCACATCTGGCAGCAAAATTCAGGCCCTGCACAGATATAAATTGCATCTGTATGTGGGTCTACTAGTTTTAGAGCCATAAGTGAAATATTTCTTGGTAAAGGTCTTTCCCATTTTCTTCACACAGATTTAACATCAGAAACCATCCCTCTTGACATCTCTGGCAGGACAAATGTACCATTTGGCATCCTTAGGGGTGAAAAGTGCTACAAGGAATGCAAGATGTAAGTCTGCTTCTTGAGTGGTGTGGTATGGTATAAATCATCCTGTCCCTGTCTTACACTTGGAAAATGTGGCCTCACAGTGCCTTTCTCTCTGTTCCTGACTGACAGGAGCATCAGAGACGCACAGTCACATTTTTAGCTGCAAGAGTAGGACAGTCACAGGGTTCTGTGAGGTGCAAGATGGATTTACTGCTGAAAATCTGATGCTTCTCTTCGCTTCTCTCTCTTTTACCTATTGTCTTCTATGTACCAGTTCTTCTGCTTTATTTAGACACATATAGGGTGCTACTTATCTCCATCCTCCTCTCATTTGTTTGCCAACCACGGAGAGAAGGTAATTCTTTGCCACATCAGCTGCACAACTCACATCAACCTCACACAGGGAAACCCTCAGACAAAGTAATTCCTGGGCTTTGCACTGGAAATACAGATCCCTGTGCTCAGGAAGGGCGTGACATTCTCTCCTGATTCCCTGGAAACTGCCTGGCATCTGTTCAATCTGGGTTTGTCTCACAGGCCTTGGATTTCCAGGATGGACATTCCTGTTGCACAGTCTCAGCCAGAGCCAAGAGGATCAGCCAACCTGTTCCTCATAGTTCTGTACAATGACCTTCATCATCTCCTCCTAGAGCTGCACTTCCTAAAGATGTGCCATGGAGAAGTCAGGCAGGACATACACCCAGTGGGTTTGTTCCTAGATCTGCAGCTTGTACCTCACACTTTGTGTCCCCCTTTTTAGTTAACAAATGATCAGGCCTACAACAGAAACAGTCTAAGCTGTGCTGTTTACATATGATGTCAAATTCGGGGGGGGTCCAGCCCTTGTGGTAATCTCTGTTATTCTGCCATTATAGCTCTCTCTGTAGTGGGCATTTGGCACTGAGACACTACCCGTTCATTTAGAACAAGTTACACTGCAGGGCCACAGCAACAAAGGCCAGAAGAGTCACCCTGAATGGTCATCTCGTGCAGTTCCAAGCTTTAGTAGTATCTGGACAAACCCTGTGACTGCAAGCAGATGTCAGTTGGGTCCTGTCTATCTTTCAGTGCCTTCAATATTTCCCTCCCTCTCCCTAAGCAATCTACACCACTGCATCACAGTTCACTGACCCCCATTTGCTTTCACCCCACCTTGAAGCCTGCTCAACGTCTAAATTAATATTTACCACTTAATATTGTAACTTTAAGTAAACACAAGCTCAGTTAACTAAAATAACACATTAAATACACAAAACAATCAAGAACAAGAGGACACATTGCTCTTTATTAAAATAAGAACTGTGGAAAGTTATTCTTCTGGTTGTTTAAATATGTGTGCTATTCTGTGAAACCATATGGTAAAGGGTTCTGAGAATCCAAGAGAAATAAGAAGCCTTCGGGGTTTATAAACCTTTTGTAATTTACCCTGAAGCACTTACAAATTACCTTCCTGTGGGTCCTTCAGGGGACGCTGACAGGCAGTCCTGGCTGACAGGAGCATGAGGAGCCCTTCTACAGCACCACACACTTTTCCAGACAGAAGGTCTCTCAAATAAACAGAAAGGAGACAGTGCAGCAAAAGGCAGTTAATCACATCAGAATTTAACCAGGATGGTGCCAGCAGTCCTGCTTTTGCCCAGAACTCCAAGGATTTCTTTTTGCTTTCAGCTTTATCTTAGACACTGGTGGCTCCACCACAGCATCCTCAGAGCCCTGATGGCTGAAGCCACCACGCCACAGCAGCTCACAAGTCAGAGGTGGGCTATTTGTTTTGCCGCTGCCAAAGAACTTCACTGTTGGTCAGGAGATCGATCAATTAAAACCATTTTGATATCTCATGTGCCCCATGAACACATTTAAATAACTGCACTCTTTCATGCATGGAAGTTCATATGTTCCCTAAAATACAATTTGATTTGAGAATCAGCTTTATCTCATCTCTGCAAAATGCACATCGTCTCAAGATAAATAGGTAGCATTTTATTTGTGTAATTTTATGTGGTTTGCTGTCTAATCTATCCAGGGAAAACATTTCCGGTTGATTAGTCTTTGGGTTTTTTGTTATCTTGTAAAACAATTTATTGTCTAGGGATTGCAGCCAAATTGCAAGTCAGTTTTTCGAGAAGGCCACTCCTTGAGGTGTAGAATACTGTATTCAGCCAGCCTCATGCTTCTCTTAATATCAGCATTTGACAAGGTCTGGCCTCACAACTTCAAGTAAACCAAATGCCTGCGATTCCATTTATGCATAAATAATCAGTGCACGCTTCACTAGAAAGGACTGGGTGGTCACCAACACTATCAGGGTTTTCCTGCAGGCCAAACTGAGACACACTCATGCCTGCAAACACCAGTTTTATTAACCTGGTTTGACTCAAAGCAGAGTCCAGGTGATTAAATTTTGTTTCAATGCTGCAACTGGCAAGTGGAACTGATGCATGGAGAAGAGAGGAGTAGAGCTGTCAAACAACAGACCACCCTTACACCATCCCTTCCTATGTGCACCTAAAGACAATTGGACTGACCTGAGGAGCACCCAGCCAGCTCTTTCTCCAAAACTAGGTCCAAACGGCTCTTTTTGTTCTAGTTTGTGCTCACAAAGAAGGAAAAAGAACTCCTGTCTTCTGGTAGACTTGTTTAGAGAAGGAAAGGTTTGTACAAGGGGGGCTTGGATAACACCATGTGCTGTTGGCCCCTAGGTTGCCAGGACAGAACTCTGCCATTACCATCACCACATGCTCTCCCACCTTAGGACAACGTGGTGAATCCATCCTGGGCTCTCAGATCCCACCCAACCCCAAGGGCCTGCTTTCCTGTGCCCCCTCAGACTGAGCCTGTCACTGTGATTGCAGAGGGCAGGATAAAGCCCAGTACATTTTAATACCATTAGCAAGAGAGCTTCTGCCTCATCTCTTATTGCAGAAAGGTGAGCAGGGACATCAACCCCACCATCACAGGCTTGTCAGTATAAATAATACCAAACTGTCACGCACGGTGCAGATCACTGAGGGGTGCAGTATATCCATGTACAAACAAGAATAATCCACCCTTTAGTAAGAAACCATTTGCCACAAAAGGCCACAGGAGGAGCTGACTGTCTGGCAAAGACAGACCTTTGTCATGAAGAAGCCTGGGAACGGATAAGGCAAGACAGCACTTCTGCTGGACGCCAGGATAAAGTAACTGGATACAGGTCCATCATCTTCTCTGCCTGTGCACTCAAACATTTTAAGAACAGGCTGTCCAGTGTGGGTCCTCTACAGGGTCACAGATCCTAACAGGAAACCTGCTCCAGTGTGGGCTCTTCTCTCCACAGATCTGCAGGTCCCTGCCAGGACCTGCTCCAGCATGGGCTTCCCATGGGGTCACAGCCTCCTTCAGGCACCCCCCTGCTCCAATGGGGGTCTCCTCCATGGGCTGCAAGTGGATCTCTGCCACTCCCACTGCCCTCCATGGGCTGCAAGTGGATCTCTGCCACTCCCACTGCCCTCCATGAGCTGCAGGGGCACAGCTGCCTCACCATGGTGAGCTACCCATGTAGGCCCTCCCCGCTTACCAAAACCTGGCCACATAAACCCCATACAACCCACAAGGATCATCGTGTCCAACTCCTGGCCCTGCACAGGAACAACTCCAAAAATCCCACCATGTGCCTGGAATCTTTGTCCAAATGCTGCTTGAACTCTGGCAGGCTTGGGGTCGTGGCTACTTCCCTGAGGAGCCTGTTTCCCACCGCAGCTGTGCTGCCAGCAGTTTCTAAAAAGTAAAGCAAAGGAGGTGTGTAGGACAGAGTGCAATTTCCTCAGGACATTTTAGGGAACCACCTCATCAACCCACTCACAGCACTGCCAATTTAACAGTGCAACTGTAGGGCTGTAGAGACTGTCGTGGCCTACACACAAAATGAGGCCCAATGCTCTTGGCTGTTCATGGGCAGCTTGAAAATAGCTGGAAGATAAAATTCCTCCCTAAAAACAAGTTTTCAGAATGCCTCTGCTCCTATCTCAAGGTCAGTGCGTTCATACACAGTGGTACTCCCCTTCTTCACTAAGGTCATACAGCTCTATCCTGCCACAAGGACAGCAGATGAGGCACAGGAATCCTTCACTTCAGGACAAAAACACAGCCCACAGAGGACAAAGAACTGGCAAACCCAACCTAAAGTTTTCATGTGGTACTGCCTGAAATAGAAGTCTTCCTGCTCATGCCAAAAGTCAAACTTCACCACTACAAAGCTGATTTAAGTGTGTGGGTGTGAAAACTTCAGCACAGTCTGTACAGAGAAAAGCTGGGGTTCCTATTTTGTCCGTCCGGTTTCTGCTGTTCTTTCCACTGCTGCTGTGCAGGTAACACCCTGTGTAACTCATCCACCCGCCTCACATCACGGAGGAAAAACAAACAGAACAAAGCGTGAAAGAGGAACAGACAATATCTACTCAGACCCATCAGAACTGAAGTGCATAAGCACACAGACAGACCTTTTAACAAAGAGCCAAAACAAACAGAAAGTTCAGAAACCAACAGGAGTGAGTCTCCCTCCCAGCCATTCTGACCACATCTTGGAAGTATCCAGAAACTAACTCTTCCACTTGGTAAAAGACCTAGCTCTAACTTTCAGTAAAGCATCAGATACTGGGACAAGCCTAAGCAGTCAGTCATTCCAGCTCTTTGCAAATCTGTTTCCCCAGGCAGTCTGGTTTACCCACCCAGTCACATCTCCACGAAGTCCACCTTCACTCCAAAGGTCACAGTCATCTCCTTTGCCTGCTGGGCTATAATGTTTCTCCTCTAAAGTCAAACAGCTGGGTTTTTCAGTGGTGCTTGCTGACATGAAAGGACACGTTCCATATAAACAGAGTGACAGCTAAAGGGAATTCAGGGCGACAGGAGGGATTAAAAAGATCCTGTGCCTCAGTGGGGAACCGCTCATGAGTTTAAACAGGTTACAATAAGATGAGAAATTAAGGCATGAATCTGATGTTGTTACTCACCTGAAGTCAGAACTTGCTTCATATATGAAGCACTGGCATCCTCAGAGAGGATACCTCACTATATCAGCCAGTCCTCTGATGCTGGAAGGCACTACAGAGTCAAAGCATCCCCTTTCAGAAGAGGTACCGAACCAATAAAATCCTCTTTACTTACTAAAAGCTAGCCACTTTCAACATTCCTTTCCCATCCTCTCATTTCCTTAAAACCAGCCTCCTCAGTTAATTTCTGCTTCCATCAATTATCAGTAACAGAATTAGAACAAACTGAGTCATAGGCAGAGTTTACAGACCAATTTCACAATTTTATTTACAACACAGCACACAGGCTAGTGGTTTCCTCTCTGATAAAAAGGATAATAAAGTGTTGACAAGGAAGACAAATGACAGAGGCAACAATTCAAGACATCACCTCCTTTGTAAGGACTGCAGTTTTATCTTTATGAGTTATAAAGCAAGGCAATAAAAATCAAGACCATTAGGACAATGTCACACACATTACAGCAGGAAATACCTCTACCAAGTCAACAAATATTCACCCCACAGGTGAAAAAGAGCTCAACTGTTGGGGGCTGGGGGATCAAGGGAAGTTTTAAGACGTGTTAAAAAAAAAAGTCCTGGCCCTGATCAGGAGGATTTGCTCGGAAAATCTGAGTCATTAGCTAAGTTTAGTTTTCTCAGTCTCAGAAATGCTGTAGAACAGGTGGATCACAACATACAGGATTCGTGAGGGATTTCTGAAGGAGGAAAGGACTAAGCACATCCTCAATCCTCCCTGAAGCAAACAGCACCTGAAATGCTCCCTCCGAGCTTCGCGGGCCCTCTCTGCTGTTTGCACAAAACAACAGCACCCTCCAGAGGATAAAAAGTGCTCGCTCCGCCTCTCCCACCACCCCACCTTTACGAACATGCAGTGTACGAGCTTTATTCCAGCTGTGAGCGCTGTAGGGCTGTGTTTAGGTCAGCCTTGGGTAAGAAAACACGAGCCATTTTAGAAGAGCAGTAACAAAGAGCTCCAAAAAGAACCCTGCTTTCTCCTGCCAGGTAGCACTCTATCTGTCCAAAGTGTCACAGTTCCTTGCAGCAGGGATGCAGGGATCCTCTTCACAGCTACAGAGGAGGAAAAACTGACCCACTGGAGGTGACTCATCACACCTCACCTTTGGATTTTACCTCGGGGGACAACTGGTGGAACTCACTGGTGGGGCAGTGAGTCCACACGACCCGCACGGAGGAGGCTCCCTCTGCCACGCTTGGCCCAGTCACACAGCCGGTTTTGGAAATGTGTTGAGACTGCCTGTGATTCCCCAGGATGATGTCAGTTGGCTCTTTCATCTCTTGCTACAGCAGCACCCCCAACAATTCGGTTCAGCACCTGAAAAACGTCGCAATCCCCGCTGTAGGTTTGGCACCAGCCTCTGACGGAAAACAAAATCAATTATACACTTTCTCCGAGACAAATTAAGAGGAAACAAACTATGCAATATCTCATCTTAATTAGTTTATTGTTCCCAGAGCAATTTAGCAGTTGACAAATGCAAGCAGTACACACCATTCCCAAAAGCTGAGCAGACCGTGACTCACTCCTTACAGCACATACCTCAGTGACTGCATTCCAAACCTACTTTGGGAATTAAGAAAGTATTTCAGACAGGAGAATTTCCCCTTTGGGGGGAAAAAAAAAAAAAAAGTGTCTCACAGATATTCCAGAGGTGCTGGCTGGGATCCAGTAACTAGATACATTGGAACAGTAGCTCTATTCAAAGCTTAAAAAAAAACCAAAAACACCAAAACAAAAACAAACAACCCCCCCAAACAAACAAACAAACAAACAAACCCAACAACAAATCAACCACAGGGACTTCTATGATTTGCTCTGTTCCTGTCCCAGCACAAAGTCAGTTTCAAATCCACGGCACTAGCACTCCATCTCCATCTATCCCTAGGAATTCTGATCATCCAGTGCTCCTTCCATAAATCATAATCTGAGATGCTTCACTTGACATTTAGAGAGGGCTCACAAGAAGGATGACATTCCTGGGCTTTAGTCACATTATGAAAAAAGAATTAAAAAAAGCACAAACAAACAAACAAACAAAACAAAATACCACTCAGTTGCCACAACCAGAAGGTAGAAGACAGCACTGTACACTTTCCAACACGTCTGAGGTTATGCTGGTCAGACAGCTTCCAGAGAAATGCACATAGAAAAGGCTTCAGTAACAAGGGGGTTGTTTTTTATACAGTTCTTATGTTATATCAGAATGTGATTCACCAGTAAAAATGGCAGTAAAGGTGAAGCTGCTTTCTTCCCTATAGGCACCAGATACCACAAGTTTCAGAACTAGTTATTTCACCCCCAGAGAGAATTAAATTCTCTAAAATGGGTTGTTATCTGTATGATTTTTAAACTTTGCTCCCACCATTCTTATGGGAATAAATCCTGATTATTATAAATTAATTCCCTGCCTGGAAACAGTGATTAAGGCAAGTTTTACTGCATAGAAGAGGTAACTTTTCACCCTTTGGTGTGCTTGACTCGTGGAAACCTCCACCTTGCACCCTGTGCAGAATAAACAGAATAAACAGCGTGCCCTTCAAATCGAATTATCAGTCCCCAGACTGAATTTTTTCACCTTTTGTAAACATAACTGAAGTCGCCAGATAACTTCTGGTAACTTCCACAACAGAAGCTGCTCAATGAAGAAAAGAGCTCTGTGTTTCAATAAGATCCCATCACTCGAGCAAACATGCATTCGGCGGGCGGGCTCGCGTGAACTTTACTGTATAATCAAGAGGCGACTTTTCACCCCTCGGGCTGCCCGATTCGTGGAGGCGCAATGAGCGGGATGAACAGCGCGTCCTTTCCCAAACGAGGCTGGGTGTCTGTGTTTAGCGAGCTCCTCAGTTCGGGTGCCTCACGGAGCCTCCACGGAGCCCTCACACACAGACACCCCCGGGCCGCCGCCATGGCTGTGCGGGCGGGAGCGGTCCCGCCCCTGACATGGCGGGTTGCGGGCGGGTGGGGACAATCCCGGCTGCCGCCCGGGGGCCCGGCGGGGACACGAGTGTGCTATGGCCATCGTCCCTGATTGCCGTGGCAGCGGGGTGGTGCCCCAGCCACGGGGACTCCCCAGTGCCACCCTCCCGTCATGAGGACACTCCAGTGCCGCCGTCCCCTCATGGGACCCCCCCCCCCCGCCAGTGCCGCCGTTCCCTCATGAGGACCCCCCAGTGCCGCGGTCCCCTCGTGGGGACTTCCCAGTGCCACCATCTCCTCGTGGAGACCCTCCCCAGTGCTGCCATCCTGTTATGAGGACCCTCCAGTGCTGCCGTCCCCTCATGGGGTCCCCCAGTTACACTGTTCCCTCATGGGACCTCCCAGCGCCACCGACCCCTCATAGAGACCCCCCAGTGCCTCCATCCCCTCATGGGATCTCCCAGTGCCATCATTCCTTCGTAGGGACTCCCCAGTGCCACCATTCCCTCATAGGGACTCTCCAGTGCCATCATTCCTTCGTAGGGACTCCCCAGTGCCACCACTCCTTCATAGAGACTCTCCAGTGCCACCGATCCCTCATGGGCACTCCCCAGTGCCACCATCAATTTATGGGGACACCCCAGTGCCGCCATCCCCTCATTGGACCCCCCAGTAGCACTGTTCCCTCATGGGACCTCCCAGTGCCACCGACCTCTCATGGGGACACCCCAGTGTCACCATTCCCTCATGGGATCCCCCAGTGCCTCCATCCCCTCATGGGATCCCCCAGTGCCACCATTCCTTCGTAGGGACTCCCCAGTGCCACCAACTCCTCATGGGGACTCCCCAGTGCCACCATCCCCTCGAGGAGATACCCCCAGTGCTGCCATCCCCTCAGGGGATGCCCCAGTGCCACCATTCCTTTATGGGGACCCCTTTAGTGCCGCCATCCCCTCATAGGACTCCCCAGTGCTGCTGTCTCCTCAGGGGACCCCCAGTGCTGCCATCCCCTCTGAGGACCCCCCCAGTGCCACTCTCCCCTTATGGGGACCCCCAGTGCCACCATCCCCTCACGGGGGGTGGGTGGAACTGGACGATCTTTAAGGTCCCTCCAACCCAAACCATCTGTAATTCTATGATTCTGTGATTACTGACAGGACAACACCCACCAGGGGAAGATGCTGCTGCAGCAGCTGGTGAAATTTCCTGTATCAATATTGATGAGCCCAGCGGGTAAAGGAGCTCAGAAGCTGCCCAAACAAGTACCCCGGGATGTACCCCATGGCTGCAAGTCCCTCCGGGCAGCACCTCCCCACCGCCCTCACAGACTCACACGGATGCGTCCAGCAGGCTCCTCTTTATTACAGCCTTGCCAATGCACACAGAGAAAATGTACCATACAAACCCCATGGGCTTCACATCTAGAAACCCCTCTGTTTCGTGTCTTGGGCAGAGGCTTTTTTACTTATCTTAATTTCTTTCTAAATTCGAGCTAGTAAATAACAGATCTTCACCACTGTCCTGTCATCAACTGCATCTAAATATTTTGGTGACACTGCTCAGAACTGGTATGGGCAGGACAGGGTGAATTCCAGCCTTGAATTCTGCCTTATGCAGCGTTACCACTGCTGGCATAATGTGAAGCGGAGAAGTTTGAGGAATTTTTCTTTTAATTCCCCAGAAATGTTCCTATTCAGAGAAGACACAAACATAACATAAGAAATACAAAAATATTTTGGAAATAAACTGTAAAGTCTACAAGACAAAGACTAAAAATCAACTAAACCTTAACTCTCCTTTGGTTGCTTTCACAAAGAGCTTTGGAAAAGATCCTACTTTCAGCTTTGAACTAGGGAAAAGTCCCATATGCAAACGTTCTACATTTTTCCCTTTGCACAGCTTGACAAAGGAAATCATGTCCACAGCAAGCCAGCATGATGTTTCACATCATGGGACTCCTTTTCCCACTTCATTCATTCATATTGAATAAGAAGAGGTAATTTTCAGACATTAAATTTAGATTAAGTCACAACTGGTAGGAAAACCATTGGATCTCATTATAAATATGCCTTGACCTAAGTGAAACAATTAGAGGATAAAATAATTCTTAAAAGTTTAATAGTCTGTTGTTATAGAATATGCTGTAGTGGGAGATAGTGAACAGATAATGAGATATTAGGTTTCTCAGACTCTAAAGGATTACACAAAATAAAGCAAACCTAATCTTTTAAGAGATCATTCCCTACAACTAGGTCAAAAAATGTTGCCTTCCTTTGTCAGCAATTATTAAAACTGAGAAAATCCTTCCTGATAAGAAAGTATTTAACAGGATTTCATAGGAGAGATAAGTACACCAGAAGACATTTAGCTGTAATTAGGAATGCTCATTGATTTACTCTATTCAAACCACTGAGTGTTGGTCAAAACTTGAAAATACTTGATAAATTCACAGAGATTTCCCAAGTATGTAGTTTCCCACACAATTTTACGTTAGAAGAGCAAGATCTGAGGTGGACACAATCACTCTTGTAATAAAGTCAGCCACCTCTTTTTGTTCCTTTTACCAGCGTCAGGAGGCGAAGAGGTGTTCGTGTTTCCAGCTTGAAGTTTGCTGCTGCTTCCTCGGGCGTGAAGATGAGCTCAACGAGGTCAGATGGAACCGACTTGGATTTGTTTCAAAAAGCCAGCGTGAAGGAGGATGAAGGGTTCCTTCCAAGGAGATGAGAACAGCAACACACCCCTAATCAGAGCACTGATGCCTTGCCTTTGGCTATTTGATTTCTAACTGGAGGATTGGAAGCCTCTCTGCCAAGAGAGGTTGTGCAGTCTCCGTCTTTGGAGGTTTTCAAGACCCAACAGGATAAACCCCTGAGTAACCTGCCTTGGTCTCATAACTGATGTTGCTTTGAGTAGGAGGCTGGACTACAGGCCTCCTTAGAACCCTTCCAACCTCAGTTATTCTACGGTTCTACTATTTTCATCCATTTTGCATCTAACATCTTTGGCTTTCTTCAGATATCAAACTGATAAAGACTAGGCTTGAAAGTTCATTTGCATAAAGCATGGCCAGAAAAAAGTTGTGAGTTTAACTGCTTTGTATGACTGAGACATGTGACCCAGCCAGAAAGAGGTAAAAAAAAAATCTGTGTACGAGATGAAAATAATGTGAGAGATCTTAAAAAAAGAAAAAAAAAAAAAGATAAAAAGGGTAAGGAATTACAAGCCCTTTGAAATACACATCACCGGCCTGTATGTGTTTGCTAAACAATCTGGAACTGCAAAATAACTAACGAGACATGTTTAAAGCACTACAGCCTGCAGCGTCCTGCATAATAAGGGCCAAAATAGCTTTTGGGCACATCCTTCCCTGGCTGCAAGGTTATATATCGTACAGTCTAAGCTGCTCCTTCATGTCTCCTTCAGACATCTCTCCAAACGTGTCACTTTTTTCCTTCATCAGTGTGAAGATGGCAGTCAGCTGCTCTCTCTGAACCCTGTCAAGAAGAAAAGGAGAAGTAGGAATAGCCGGTCCCCAGAAGGCACTTGGAGGAAAAACACCATGGTCAAATGAAACACGGAGCCAAACGCAGGTCACTGTACAAGCCTTACTGGCTGCAGGAAATCTGCCCATGTGAGATAAGACAGACTCTGGTTCTCCTTCCTCCCCTTTCCCATCTGTCCCATCATCCTGCACATCCCTCTGCAGTTCTTTCAATACAGAGATAAACCAGACTGCTTTAACAGTAGCTTTGGAGTTCCTTAGGGTTTATCTATGCTCAGAGTTTCAAGATAACTCGACGTGTGGAATTTCATAAGACTCAATTCAGCAGACTCCACAATGAACCTGGATTAAGATTCAACAGCACAGTGTCCTTTCATTCTGTAATGAGAGCATGTAGATACAGAGTAATTCAGAAATAGCTATTAAATTAGAAATGCATATCCCACCTTAAAACTAGAGACCAGTCTACCTCTCAGTGTGGACATGACTTTAATCAGCCACTGGAAGACAAGATCACAGATAGGAATTTGCTTTAATTTGAGTTTGCCAGCCAGTGGGAAATGGTGACATGGACCCAGGTAGCCAGCAATGAGGTGACCCCAGGGTGGGCAGAGGCTGACCCAGATTACCTTAGTGCATGATTAACATCCTTTTCCTCATAGCAGAGGATATCTTGATTTTTCCCTACCTTGAAGCAGTTAAGCATTGTAACAAAGATTGGTATCTGTGACAGGGCTTGATTTGGGGAAGCTTTACAGGAGAGCTTATACTGGTCATACACCTACTGGTCATCATTCAGGGATACAGGAGGGTGGGCAGCACAGGAGTGTCATTTGCTCACAAGTAGCTCATAACCTGATGTAACTGTCTACAAAATCCTCTTTTGGGTCAAAATGATAGTGCACGTGGCTCCAGGCAGGGCTGGCTGTGCACTGGTACGTTCCCACTGCTGGACTCCAGCCTGACTGGGGTCAGATTGCTGGACTGCCCAACACGTCTTGTACCTGACTCTCCTGTGTGAGATTAAAAGAACTCATGAGGTTGTGGTGCTTATGGCTATAACAAAGGAGAAGCTTTCTCCAACATTCTATTACTTCAAGGCTCATTTTGCCTCTGCACGAGTGGAGGGCCAGAATTCAGCGACAGCTCAGAGCACAGATCTGCCACAATCCCAGCTTCTCCTGCTTGTTTAGCATCTTTAGACCTCCTGTGGGCTAGAAAGACAGAATCTGGCTTTTGCTTCCACGTGGTCATCCTGTTAAGAGTCCTCCTTCCTGCCACAGCCAGCTTCCCATATAGGACTTTAAACCACTTAATTAATCCATTTAAATGCACTAGATAACCTGGGGTAGTCTTCCTGCAAGGCCAGTGTGGACAAGCTATCAGCTGTTCCAGTAAGAGGAGAGGCAGTAATAACTATTGACAGGCAAACCCAGGACACAGTCTTTGCTTGGAAGAAAGGACAGCATCAACCCACCAGCAGCAACCACCCCACGAACAAGATCAGTGGAAGGAGACAGAGGAATCTTTTTCATGTGCTGAACTCCTGCTCTGCATTTTTCCCTCTCCTGGGCTAAGCCCCAGCAGAAGCAGAAACAACAGCCTGTCCTCTCAGCACTGCTGAAGCAAACAGGGCAGGAAAGAAGCAGATCCTGGCTAAAGCAAGCTCGTTTGCCAGTGCTTTTCTATTCCAATTAAAATGCAGAGATCCTGAGGCCAAATGTAACCCGATAATGAGGTGGGATCTTTCAGTTACAAAAGCCTCGATTTGTCTGTCTCTTCTGTAACATTTTGTGCTCACATGGAGAGCATCCAGCGGCCCTTTCCAGACGAGAGGAAGGGAAGCGGGGTCGTTAGTGATCAATGTTTTATTTTAGATCACCGCTGGGCACCAGAGGGCACGTTTCCAGTCTGGAGTGGAGAAATTCGATACACAGCCTGGCCTCCCGTGTCTGCAATGCACGCCAGCTGGGGGTGCTCCACGCAGGTCTGCATCCCTCACTCATTATTTTACAGACGTTAACGCTGCAGAAACCTCCCCAAAGGCCTGTTTCTTTGTCTCCAAAATCAGGATCACAGACAATATTTGCTCTACTCTTTTTAAGCACAACATCAATGCGTTTTGGCTCTCCCCTCAACTTTAAATATCATGACTGTGCATTTGAAAAGCAGAAAAAAGAGCTGCTGCCTCTGTTATTTCTCTGTGCTACATAATCTACAACAAAGGGACGGCAAAACAAAGATAAAGAGGGAAAAGAGCCTGGGAAGGAATAGTAAGGCATCACAAACATGAAACTGTGTTCAAAGAGGAGCTTCTCCTATCAAAGGCGACCTTGCAAAACAACTTTGTAGTGCTCCGGGTTGGTTTCGTTTGGGTTTTTTTAACGAGTTCAGATCAAACCTACCCCGTTCACCAGTAAAATCATCCTCTCTTCCCATAAGTGCTGCCCTCAATACTACTTGGATTCAGGAAGTCAAACAGGATTTTACTTATTGCTGACAAAATAGATTAATTAAGGATTTTCAAAGCAGCCTAATTCTTCTTGATAGGCAATTGAATTTGCATACTTAGCTCCCCTGGGCTCTTTTTGGACATTTCAGTCCAAGTCCTTCACAACTAACTGGAGGTTTGGAGCAGTGAGCCATAGGTATGTTAGAGAACTCCATTTCAAGAACTGCTTGGCACCTGAGTCCACAGCAGCTGAAATCCTGGGCAGAGCTCTGCACTGAGAATTGCTCTGCAGACAAACAAGACCAGAACCCTGCTGCAACTGTGTTGCTCCAGGAAAAATAAGGTAATATGCCCAAATTCCCCCCGATCTGACTCTACTGTTAAGGAAACCAGTGGAATCATTTATGTGGTAAAAGGCCTAGGAGGGCAAGAGTGTAGTTGTAACTTAAAACCTAGATTTTCAACACAAACCTCTCGAAAAAGAAGTTACAAGCTGCTGGAGGCAGGGAGAACAAGCACAAACCAAATAAACTATTCAAAGGTTTATTGGACCAAACAAAGGCAATTTTTACAGATTCAAGCCACTAGTATTACAGTCCTTTGTATAAGAGCCACCATCAGATACAAAACGAACAAACAAAACAAACAAAAGTAAAAAATACCCAGACAGCCATTGGAGTTGAAGAAATAGGCTGGCTTGCTGCCACTAGCAAAAAATCTGGACTCAACTATAGACTTTGCTGGATGTACATATTGCCATGTAACTTAAACACAACGTATATAAGGCATTCTTTGCATAGTTGGGTGCTCAGGACACAGTCAGCCAGCCAGCACCGAGGGGAGACAGTGGCTGTACCAGCGGGATGTTGAAGCAGAGGGTCCAGATGTGCCTAAATTCATATGCAAACCACTGAACACGCTTGCAGTTGTCGGCTGGGAAGGGGCAGCCCAGCCTCTTCTAAAGCTGAAGCCTCCTACTGTTCTTTAAATGAGCCCTTTCATTAAGAGTCTGCCAACCCCAGGCGCTGGAAAGGACAACTGTGTACAAGGTTTCAAGTATTGTCTGCATAGGAATTAAAAAGGAGGAGGGGGGGTGGGAAGCAGCCTGTTGGGTTTCTGATATGTTTGCAGTGTTAGCCAAGAGGCCATCGTGAAAGAGGAGCTTTGAAGGACACATCCCCACCCAGCCTGGTGTTTCTACACCACCACTAGAGGACTCAGACTCTCTACTGACTCTCACAAACCAGCTGGGTTTGATTTAAAATCTGCCATGTCTGAAGCAGGAATATGTGCCCAGCCAAATGGATCTGCTGTATGTGACAGCGCCGGGGGGAAATGCAGAACTCTGGCTCCCATGGACAAGCCACGGGGCTACCAAGAGAAGAGGGCACTGGAACAGCAAGCAGACAGGTAGAGGAACGGGGAATGTGCCTCTCCCAGGACCCCCACTATCTGATCCTGAGCCAGAGGAAACCCCTGGTGCCATAGCTACCCCTCTTGGGCCTCTCCTCTTGGGAACTGGAGTAGGGAAAAGTGAGGATCAAGATATTTACAGCAGCCAAAGTGTGGTCTCCTAAACCTCTGCCACAAACAGAACAGCTAAACTATCAATCTTCAGCACTTCCCGAGTCTCCTGAACACCTACAGAGTCAGGTCTCTGCTAAAATAACTACAGAAGCAAGATTTGAGTCAGTCCAGTCTGCCATACCTCACGTGGACCCCCCTTTGTCCCTCCACCCCTCAGAGTAAAGCAGCTTTGTACAACACGTGAAATCACAGGGAGTTCCCACTCCCCAGAAATAAAGAGGAGTTTGGCCCCAGGACAAAACAACTTGAGAGTCTGGTACAAGGTCCAGGCTGGTCTGGGAGAAGAGCTATGGTTTGTCCACCCCAGGAAAGGAACAACATGGATTTCATGGCCTAATACATGGTAACAAACACAACAGACTCGCTGCATATTTAGTGTTCACTTCGGGTTCTGTATGGGGGAGAGGGAGGAAGGTTCATCCCACCCCCCAGACACAACTCAAGTCATTGCTTGGGCCCAGCCCCAGTCCATGGAGCCACACAACAGGATCTCCTCAACCTTGACACCATGGGAGTTTTTGAAGAACTCAACTTCAGACCAAGAGGGGATCCCAAGTTTTGAGGGTTTATGGATTTCTCTTATGGGCGTGTTTGGTTGGTTTTGGTATTTCTCTCAAGCCTTTAAGGATGCCAAGGGATGCCTTTAGGAGGAGGCTAGGGACAACTTCATATAGTCTTCAGGTCTGCAAAGAGAAACAGGGAGAGAAATCATTTCAGTCATTTCACCCCTCAGGTTGGTTCATTATTATTCACATAAACGAGCAGGGGGAACACTCAGTGTGTGTTGGGGGGAAGGCAAGGCAACTTCCCCCCTCAGGGCAGAACAAGCCACTGTTTGCAAACATCATGCCTCTAAGAAGGATTCTGCTTCAAAGTCACCTGCAGCAGGATAGTTGAAACCCAATCAGAAGTGTAAATCCTCTTGTTCTGGCACCAAACTAAGTTACAGCCCT